AGGGTAATGTTGTGAATCGAGTGGCCCATGGTGGTGGTGGGGTTATGGTATGGGCAGGCGTATGTTATGGACGACGAACACAGACCACTCGATTCACAACATTACCCTAACCCTAACCCTAACCCTAACCCTAACCCTAATCCTAACCCTCAAACCAGATACTGACGGGTTTTCGGACCCCCCCAGACCCCCCCAATAGAGTGGCCTTTTATTGTGGCCAGCCTAAGGCACACCTGTGCAATAATCATGCTGTCTAATCAGCATCTTGATATGCCACACCTGTGAGGTGGGATGGATTATCTCGGCAAAGGAGAAGTGCTCACTATCACAGATTTTTTCAGATTTGTGAACAATATTTGAGAGAAATGGTTATTTTGTGTATATAGAAAATGTTTTAGATCTTTGAGTTCATCTCATGAAAAATGGGAGCAAAAACAAAAGTGTTGCGTTTATATTTTTGTTCAGTGTACATACACCTATATATGCATAATATACACACATACATACATCCACATACACATATACATATACACAGTATGATGGTTTTAGCATTTGACAGTGGAGATGTATTAGTAAGCCAGCCAGAAAGTTGACTGGTTGTGTCTATAACCTTTTTATATTAACAACGGATTACATTTACCATGTGTATGTGTGAAAAAAGTTGCTTACACAAACCCACAGAAAATCTTCCCCTTGGCTTCACAAAGAATTTCAGCATCTTTAATTAATCGCATTGTTTTTGTTTCCCAGCCTGCAACTTTACTGTTTTGGTTCAGCTCAGCGCTCTCATCAGCCTTGTTTTCAGTAGCAGCAGGCAGCTGTTACCAAATCACTGCAGCTACCTGCCAGGAGCGTACGGCAGACAGGCAAATTTAGCAACTAGCTGAGGAACATATCGGAGCATTTGGAAGCTTAAGAGACTGACATAGCCTTTACGGGTTTATGAAGATCAGGTAAAAGAACGGATAATATTGGACTTGCCAGAACACAACTCTGTCTGGTAGATTGTTAAAAGGTGACTGTATGCTACCATGTTGAAAAGTGATAATAGGCCATGATAAAGCTCTTTGTAATAAGTTAGGCACAATAGTGTTCATGAACCAAAATAAGTTAAGTGCTTTACAATAGTGTCCCTGTCTAGAAAAAAACAATGTTTGTGACGATCTTAACCTGAAATAACTTAAATCAAACCAGTCACCTCCATTGGCCATGCTGCTGTTGACCAGCTTGTTCATCAGGTTGTGGTTGCGTTCGGTGGTCGCTCTCTCATGGTTGTTGAGGTAGGAGGGGATGTAATTGGAGGTCAGCTCCTTGAGGATCTTCTTCTCCAGGGTCGTCTCCTTATGATTGCCGTGGGTGCCGTAGCCGCCACTACGGTCCAAGATCTGGACGCAGTCGCTCAGGTACTCGCTGCTGGCCATGCTGTAGTTGTTGGCATGGTTACCATTAAGAGGGAGTGTATCCATTACACTGGAGTCTCTTGCGTTGTTCAGGATGCCCTCTGAGAAACAAATAAGGAATAATAACAGTCATAATTATTAGGAGTCCTGAATAAACCATCATAGAATATGCTGTGAATTGAGGATTAAAGGTACATATGTTAATTCCTTGGATACAAACATTTTTACTCAATTAATTAAAGGAACCTCAGAAGTTTGTTATTTTCTCACTACAGCCAGCACTATAGCAATACATTAAAAAGAGTTGGGGATTTAAACTAAAATGTGCACATTTGATTAACACTACATGTAATCAATAATAACGCTTGTTTGTTTTACTTCTATACATAAATTGCCTTCAAGAAAATAGCATTTCTGGGAAAGGAGTCCAAAACTGTGTGAGAAATCAAATCAGAAAACCGTATAACACAGATTGACTAATTATTCGGGCGAGGAAAGTAGCAAACAAAACTATAATTTGGGTGAAGATTGAACCAGAGAGTTTAAAAACCAAGGAAAGAGAGAAGAAACTCATATGTTACTGAAGAAGTTGAGTATTAATTTAGCCCATACTTGTGTCTCGGTACGGTGCTAATGGACAGCATGAGGGAGAAGAGAGAAAACAGAAAGACGTGAGTTCAAACATCGAGAGAAACAACTTTCAGGGGCAGAACATCTACAGTTGGACAGTAATTGGAGGCTTGATGGAAAACATCTTACAAAGAAACCATCTCTGATACTCAATATCAAAGTCTGTTTTCCTGGCTTTGTCGTTAACTGGCTGTTACCATATGGTTCATTATTTATTTAACACAGAGAAAACAGAAAAACACAACTTACATTTAAAACATAGTTTGAATACAGCAGACGTGCACTAAGACAAGCAATAAAAGTCACAACTGACACGTACAAAGTCAAGCACATGCTGTAGAAAATAGAAAATCAATACAAAAAGTATGAATATTTCATGGCTCCCAAGTAGGTTATAAAAGATACAGTGTAGTTTGCAACACATAGTGTGCATGTATAGCATACAACAAATCAGCATGTGAACTTGTTGACTTTTTACATAAATCATAGACAGAATTTCATCTCCACTTTTATGTGCTGGGAAAAGTGCCCAGTGCGGGTCCTTTGTGAAAGATTATTGCAGTGCGATTGATTGCCTCACTTGGGAGCCAGATCATGTGCATCACAAAGTGTATCACAGTAGCAAACGGCTTCAAATGAAATTACCATGCAACATCAATTAAAACATAGTAAAAAAATAACTTTGCATGTTGTATGTTTATAATAGAAACATCAAGCACACCTTGGGTGTTGTACATGCCCACGGCGGGGTTGTTATAGACTGCCGAGTCCCCCAGGAGAGTGTTATAAGGATGGTTAGTACCATGGGGACGAAGGAGAGCATTAGTTATAAGATGATTAGCCATGGCTCCTGGTACAGGCAGATAGAGAGAGAGAGAGGAAGAGCAACAGCCAAGTCAAGAGAGAAAAAGAGAGAAGCAATCGAGGGTAAAAAAGGGAAAGCGGAGAGAGAGGGAGGTTGAAGGAGAGCATGTAGACGGTACAGAGTGCAGGTAAGCGAGAAGGAAAAGGAGGAAGGGAGAGTAAGATGGAAAGTGAGTGTGTGGAAGAAGGAGGGAGAGAAGAGGACAAGTAAATCAAACAGGCAAATAGTTTGAGGGGAAAGCCAAGAAAAAGCTTGACAAGTAATTCTTGCAGCCACAGCATACAGGCTGAGGGAGGGGACACGAAGGAGAGACAAAGGGAGAGCATAGCTTGGAGAAGTCTGTGTTGCAGTTCAATACGCTAGAGCAGAGCAGCATGACTACAGGATAGTAAACGGAGGGGCCACAAACAAAGTGCATTTTCTTTCCTAGGTGGGAGATAAGCTGGAGGCGACAGTTCCTTTACATTCATTCTCATGGTCTATTTCCCTCTCTATCAAACATAGCCAAAAACATGGTAAGAGGGGAAGAAAAGGTTAACAGTTTATAATGCTAATAGGCACAATGTATGGTGTCTAGCCTAAATGAATCCAAATCAAATATTAGGTTACCATAGTTTATTTGATTATTTGTATAACTTTACTACTATTTCGAAAATAGTGGCTGGGCAGCAGCCTTAACTTGGCAGAAACAAAAGAGCTATATATATTAAGTTATAAACTATAAACCTTCAAAATAGGTTTTTAATCATAGAGGACAATATACATGAATCCTTACTGACATAATATAAATCAAGGTTCATACAAAGGGCTAGTTCGCACCCATTGTCTTAACGACTAAAAAGAAACAAAAGTAATAATATATTTGACATCAATATGTCTGCCAACTTCAAGGTTAAAAAGAACACATTCCTTTTCCATTATCCTTTCTCCTGATTTCAACAAGTCAATCTCTAGCTATCAGAATATCCAATTTAATCCTCCCATTCCTTATTCACTAAGCCTCAGTACATAGTCATTTGAAATCTACTTGCTAAGTAGCTCTCTGCACCATACTTTAAAGTGTGAGCGAAGGAGGGGGGCGGGGGTGTCTTAAGCCCTGCCTCGCTAAGTGTGTGATAATTCAGGCGCTGACACACACCGTGTCTGCTTTAGCATCAATCTGTCATGCTAACAGCTTATTAGTGGCCCGAAGGAAGCGAGGGCCACACCTCAACTTAGAGACTAACAAATGGCAGTGTATGTGTGTACGTCCCAAGAGTGTGTATCAAAAATGTCTAGCCATTTGTGTGTCAATGTCCTCATTACCCTAGCCCTCAGACATAGAATCCATTCTCACAGTGACTTTCTCGGGAGGGACAGGAAAGACAGCTACCAATACAGTGGAAATCCAGCAAACTATCCTAATTAACATTTAAAAGCTTAGACACAGCAGCCTTCATATAATGAGATAAACTTGTATTACACTTTAAAACTTTGCTCTACTTTACCGAACATTCAAAGTAATGTCTCACAGTACATTTTAGAATCAGTAGATTCGCCTGAAGTGACACACTACTACATTCTGGTTATAATCAAGCATTAATTTAATGCAACTCTGCATAACGTACAGTACATTAATAAAGGAACCACTGGTGTTCAGCTCTAGACTTCCACACATACTTTAACTTAAAGGATTTATCCCCCACAAATGATTCAAAAATAGACTGTCCTCAGACAAAAAAGTATAGAAGCTTCTGTAGAACAGTAAACTCTGTAAATCTAAAATGGGACAACAGACTGGTTGATGTTCCAGTTTTGACAACAGTCTACTCCCAACTCTCCCTCCTGTAAAGTCATCCTTTGAAGTAGCAAAAAAAAAGTAGCAAGTGATATTTACACTCTATTCAGCTAATCTACCTCTCTACAAGAAAGAAGTTTGGACTCCTACCTCTTTACTAAATGACAGCATATGCTGCCAGAGCCTCCCGCTATTAATAAAATAGATATGGTGACAATGATGAGGATGCAAATGCTAGGTATCCCGTGGTTACCTCTGTTGAGCGTGGCGGAGCTGTTGATGTCTCCAGTGATGAAGGAAGACTCCTGTTTCCTCACAGTGTCATTCCACATCCGCCTGATACGACTCTATACACAGGAGAAAGGAGCGCAAAAGAAGAGGGAGAGAGGAAAAGGAGGTGGAGAAGGTATGGATAAAGACACATAGGAGTAGCAATAATGAAAGGGAGAAGGAGTAAAAGGAAGGAAGAGGACGGAAGACGTAACAACAAAAGATGGAAACAAATGTGGTAAGAGAAAAGTGATATAAGGAGGAATGGTGTGCAAAAAGAGGGAAAATTAGTGCAGGAGAGGCAATAAAGGAAAAAGCAAAGTTGCGGCCAGCAAGAGGGAAAACAGGTGGGGAGAAATAATCACCCGTCAATTATATTTATTCTCATTTACCTTTGTGTCAGCATCAACATTCAAAAGGTGTCAGGGTTTGGGCTATCTCACTTTCCACATTGTTATAGTATTCTAACTTAATCACAATTTCAGAAGGTTCCCATTAAAAAGTGTTTTTGTTTAAATTGCCTATAATAAAAATTGAGACTGTGCCGAATGTAGTTGTGGAAGTGATCAGCGATAACCCTAAACCCTCATGGCGTGCTCCTGCCTCACCTGAGAGTCTGCTGTGCTGTATCGTCCAGGTGTGCAGGCAGGTAAGCTCACCTGTGAGCCTGTGGAGTAGCGGCCGGGGGTCCTTGAGGTGGTGGTCTTGCTGGAGGAGGAGATTGACGTCTCCACGCTCTTGCCGCTGCAGCAGTGAGTGCGCAGACATTTGCCGTACTCTTTTCGTACCTGGGCAGGGGGAGGCAGAGTGAGTTACACACTGACATACTATGCACATACATTACTTAACATAGAAAGCACCTATGGAGGAGGAATTGACCGATGTCCCACTTAACTGGCGTATATTGAAGCATATTTTCAAGATGACACACCAGGAAAGAAACAGACGCTTAACTTGATGTAGTGTCCCTGTTAACTTCTTGTACTCAAATTCCTTGTGCAAACACTTACTCCATACAAATTTAGACATTAACAGATTAACTTCATAAACTTTCCCCCTCATAAACATCCACCCAAAATGTTAACACTGCCACTTTTGAAATGGACATATTCCTGAGGGAGATATATGATGCACTTGCACACACAGAACATCTGCATTTAGATCCCAATCAAGTTAGAACAAATAAGATTGTAATTGCTTTTTAACAAGCTTGTTGGACTGGCAGACGTGTATTGCCACATGCTCTGTTTGAACAGCTGTGTGGTGAGCTGCCCTATGCATCTTGGGAGAAACCATGTTGGGTCGCAGCCAAAGAAAACCTCAGCACTGTTCTGAGGACATCTCTCAGGATACCTGATCCCATGGCCTTCCACATACTTAAGTAAATTGCACACACACACACACACACACACACACACACACACACACACACACACACACACACACACACACACACACACACACACACACACACACACGGACACACACACACCCTTATGTCAAGTCACAGCATAGTACGATACATCAGGTTTGTTTGGCAGCCTCTTGTAATAACCATGTTTTCTCACTAAGTGCTTCACAGCAGAACACGAGCATGAATCCTGAATCCTCGCTTCGTCTAAACAAAGAAAAGGAAAAAAAAGCTGGCAAAATGAAACATCTTCAATTTTCATACTAAAAAAGGCAACAATGTCTCCAGGCAACTGGTCCAACACATCGTGGTGGATAATCCAACCTCTCTGTTGTATTGTGGGAAACTAATTTCACCATCGAGGTTCGTTAGCGCATTCCTGATTACGGACGTGTAATGTATTAGATAAAGTTTCTAATTAAGGACTAATTATACCTTTGCTGTATACCTCTATCTCATGCTTCTGAGTGATTTGGTGATTAAGACACTGCTTTCATGGTGAAAACAGCTCCTTGATCAAATAAACAACACAAGGACGTGCTGGGATGGGAAAGAGAGCGCAGGAGGCGGTGGAGTGGGAGAAGAGGGTGAAATGAAAAGAAAGTTGATGAGGTCAGAGTGAAGTGCTGGAGTAGCTAACAAGGAAAGAGGGTAGTTAGAGAAAGCACGATACATGGGGTATGAGCAGAGACATTTAGAGGAGAGATAGGAGGAAGGAAGTCTATGTTCTCTCACAGAGAACAATAGATAGGGCACAAAGGCAAGAGATGGTGCTGAGGATGGGAGGGAGGAAATGGAGGCAGAGTGAGACAGGCAGACATAAACACAGACACTGATATGCAAATATGGCAGAAAGAAATAGAAACACTGGTTAAGTGTCTCTTATTGCACACGAGCCAGACTAAACATTCAAGCTATGTACACACACACATAAATTAGCACACACACCCCACACTGAAGCGCACATACAAACACGCGCATCCACACCCACACACAACGGCGGGATATCAAAGCACGCTGAGTCTAATCTAATTAAAGCTTGCTTGTAATGACAATCCTCCTCCTAAGATACACACTTGTTCATTATCGTTATCACACGCGCACGCTGTGTTATCCTTTCAAATCACTGTTTTGGTTCTAATAATAATACAATTTATTCAGACGCCTAATACTGCGCCTCATAGTCACACAAATATTCTAACACAATAACATCACCTACTGTAGCTGCAGGGGCTTCTTTAAAATGTGTCATTCAAATAATTTATTCCTGTCGCTCACTCTCCTTTGAAAGACTTGTTAAAGAAACTAAACACGGGGGGCTTAAAAGTGCAATGAGGAGAGTAAAGAGGGAGGAACCGGAGAGAGAGAAAAGTGAGGATGAGAGAAAAGAAAGAGATGAGAGGCGGTTATGAATAAAAGGGAGAGATAATCATGGTGGATCTGCCCACTGGATTAGCTGGGAGGGAAGATTAACGGCACAAAAAGGAGAGGAATGCAGAGACCAAATTTCCCACAAAAAAGATGATTTCCTGCTTTAACTTCTTCAGAGATCTGGTAGCCTACATCTCAATTACTGTTTATGTAACCATATGTGCGTTCAGGAGAGCAAAAGAAATTGGAGGAGTTACAAGTCTGAAATTATATAAAGTAAAAAATGTGTAGGATGGCAATGGTTGGGATTGTTTCAGAGAGAGCAAGTGTCATGTTGAAAGCAATGATTTTGTAGAATTTCTCTCTGCTTTCTGTCTCCGGCAAGTGAAATAAATGCTCTAATGATATCCCCGTGTTGTGTGACTTAAATAGATTTGATTTCATTGCTTACTGATGCGAAAGTGAGCAAAGAAAAGCCTTAGAGCATCATTTGACATTCCACCACAATCATCACCCTCAAGCATGCACTCATCCACTCTTCTTCTTTACTCATCATCCCCAGCTCCTCCTTCATGACTTTTCATCTCGTCCTGGGTCATATACAAGCCCAGTGAATCCTAGTGATGGGGGGAATAATTGTAGGAGCTTTTGAAATATCAAATCAAAAAGGAAATAAACAGGAAGATAATCAAGGGAAACACAAGCGGGGGCATCTCGCTGGTTGGCAGATAAAAAGATGGCTCAGAGATATATCATCAACCAAAGGCTTGAAAAGCAAAGAGGGCTTTTGTTCTTCAGTATTTCTGCCTTATTCTATGGCCCAGTGATGAGAGGATTAGTGAGAGAGGCTGAGGAGGGATGGAAGGAGGGGGGAAAGAGAGGAGAGGAGAGCGATGTGCACAACCCCATAATAACTAGCTTTGTTCTGCTTTGTCAATTCTGCCTAAAAGTGAAGAAAATACGGGAAACATAAATAAATAAGTGTTATTGTCTTTGGAAAACAATTCATCCCTGCCTTAGATCCCTAAAGACAGTTTTTCCTCTGCATTTTGCTAGATGAGCATGGGTCTCTGTGGATGTGACCCTTCAATACCTCTGAAAGGATAACCTGGACCTTTTTAACACGCCTGCTATACATAATAAAACAGGCTCTACATAATAGGGGCGCATAAAGCTGTAAATTAAGTATATTGTACACATTGTTAGAAGAAATGTTAGCAACATGTATAATTCATAGTTAATAATCTTTGGAAAATACAATCAGAGATATCATTTTTCCCTTATGTTTTTTGCCTCGCTATGTTTATGGAGGTTGACAGGTATAAGGTAGTCATTTGAACATAATGCTTTTTGGAATAGTCATTTGTTCGGTAGCCTACTATTGTAACTCAAGGACATGAGTTTACAAATTATTGTTTCAAGTCCAATCACGGAATGACCATCATTTAAGGAGGAGATTTGATTATTTAATTAGTAAAAGTGTTGTGAAATTAGACTCCCTCCAATTTGGTTATATTATGTTTTTTCCGGACTCAAAATTAGATACTTCTGTTTAACAGTTGTATTCTGATTCGAGACTGGGATACATGAAATTCAACAGGGTTTTCTGTTTGTTGTGTTTACTCATGCACACAAATTATTCATTTGTAAGAGTGGTTAATTGAGTATCAAATCAAATCAAATCAAGTTTTATTTATATAGCACATTTAAAAGCGATTTTTGGTCGAGCCAAAGTTCTGTACATGTAATAAAAACACATTACTACAATCACAATAATAATAACAGAAATATAAAAAACACAGGGAAATGTCAGGAGTAAAACACAGAAATACCAGGAAATGTTTTACACTGAGGAGTCAGTCTGAAATTATTCTTGAAAGAAAATGTATCTTAACTAAAAACCTACATAGTATGAACACATCATGTTGTATACAGTATTATAATGATGTTTATTATATTTGAAAAGCAGGATTTTTACAAAGGTATCGTTGCTGGCAATCCAAGATGTTTAATGCCACCTCTACTACCCTTTATGTAATTTTAAATGAAATACTCTTTGTCATGTATTGCTGTAACCAATACCAATGTATTATGCAGCCAGTCAGTAACTCTCTTAACAGTCAAAGAGGAGAAACAATAGCATTATTCTGCCCTACAAAAGATAACAATAACCTTTTTTTGTTTACGCTGTGTGAAGCTAGATTGTACAGTATACTTTGTTTCAGGTTTGTCTTATAAAACATAGATCTGAGGCGACGGGTTTTAAAAATGCCTTCATATTCTTAGATCTTTAGCAGCCACCTGGTTTACGTTATGATAAGATATAAGAAGGAAATGTGTGAAATCTAAGAATTACATTTTTGCCTAAATTTGAGCATGTTGCACAAATGATTTCCTTTAGGACTTTGTACTTAGGTCAAATTCAACAAGATGTAAGATGCTTTTGTTCTAGCCTAGCCATAAATTCAACATTTGAGACACGCCTGCTGCAGCCACACAGTCTTCAACACTTGGTGACTGTGAAGCTTCACCAGTGCAAATGGAGGTTAAGTGCTTTGCTCCAGGGCATCTCAGCAGGCTCTGTGACAGTTGCAGGGTCCAACTGAGTTTTGAAGATAGGGAGGGACAAAAAAAAAATGTACTCACGGATGTTGTCTGTGGTCTCCTGCACAGTGTCGGTCTTGAGGAGGTTGTCGGCTAACATAAAAGCTCCCGTCTCCACAGTGTCGAGGAGCAGAGTGGCTGAGTGCAGCTGTCCGCTGGTGGGCAGTTCTCTCCAGGCCGCCTGGGCTCGTGGCTGCAGCAAATTATTCACCGTCTCCACCATAGCCTAGGACAGCAGCAGAATCACGGAGGTCACAAGGAGGAAGATAATGCTAACACTTTCAGTCACTGAAGCTAATTATGGCAAATCAATCATAGTAAAAAAGTGTATGCTTCCCCACTGAAGACAGCAGTCAGTGTGATGCAACATTGAGAATGCAGTGGAATTTCATTTATCATGGTGATAAATCATGACACGCAAAAATAAGATGTAAGCGATGCAAATGTGGCATTCCCATGCAGACGTAACAAAGGCAAAACACAGCTGTTAAATGAAAAATAAATGTCTAAAGTTATGGTCTGCACTTTATAATGTTCATTACCACCTTCTTATTCTTCTATCTTTATAAAAAGAATGTTTTGATTGAAAATCATTCACAGATGTCCTCAAAATCAAGCTACGCTAATTAGCTGATTGCAATCACCATGTGTCTACACCCCCAAACCTGGCTAATTTCTCTCTCTCTCTCTCTCTCTCTCTCCCCCGCCTTCTCCTCTCTTTTTAAGACTAAGCAACAGTCTTATCTTTGAGTTTGAAAACTTGTGCTTGAAGGGCTGAGAAAAGATTAACGTTTTATCAGATAATGTCTGCTGGGTCATATCCAGCCGCGCTGAACGGTTTTGAATCCAAAAATATTACCAAAAAGAGAAGAGTTGGCTCACATAGATGAGTCGCTCTCCAGGAAACAATACTTATTTTGTCTCCAACACACATTCCTTTCTGCTCTTAAGAATTCGACAACTCATTTTCAGACATGAACACCCCACATATACACACAGGCACACAGAGTCACATCCTATGGTCACATCCTAAAAGACCCTGGGAGAGATAAAGAAACGGAGAGAAAATAGAGCTGGTGGGAGAGAAGAAGAAGGGGAGAGCCATGGGAGAGCGATAAAACAGTCCAGTGAGTCCATTGTGACAGGCGTCCGCTGGGAACAAGAGAGGCGGAAAAGCGAATACAGGTGCTATCAAACACACACATCTCACAGTCCCGTCTGTCTCTTTATTTTCTCTTTCGCAGACTGTAAACCACCATTCTGCAAACGCACTCCCATCCCTCACTTATCACTCATGTTTTCAATGCTTCTCTCTCTTAAGGAGGGTGGATGGGAAAATGGAAAAGGGGACGCAGGTGCCATTATATAAGCAAAGGGGGTGTCCAGTGGGGAATTGCAAGGCCAGAGAGGAAGAGTGAAAGACATCAGTTTATTGGCATTCACGCATCAACCATCTGACGTCCTTCCTTCTCTTCTCACTCAGTGTTAAGGCAAAGAGGGAGGAAAGAAGGCTGCAACAGCAATTGTCTTTGTCTGCAGTATGTAGAGAAGGAGTAGTAAGTAGAGAAACACAGCAGGTAATGACTCATTCCAGTGTTGATAGCATGTGCTACAAAATGTGCACTTGTCCTCTGGAATTAGAGCTAATCCTACCTGTTTATTTTGGGGGTGTGATATCCAAATGTAGATACAGTGTAGCACACACAAGAAATGGGTGCTTAGCCAACAAGGTAATATGATAATATTATGTCCTCTTTTAGCGCTAGCAGTTAATTAGGATGCATATTGGATGAGTTTGGGAGGGCAACATGTAAACAAAAACTAATTAATCCACTGCTTCAGTAAACCAGCAAAATAAGCAGGAGTGGATATGAAGCACACCCTTGCATACGTATACACCGGCAAATCTGTTTCTGCCTCAGTCATTTAGCTGAGTGTGACGGAAGACTACAAGCTTCAATACGCGTTTCTAATAAATTGTGGTTTATGGGAAATGTAATATTAGGCAAATTATTTAAGCCATTTTCCAGGCAAAACTATTTTTTCTGTTTTTTTAATATTCTCTGAAATGTTCTTGACAAGAAAGTAATCGTTTAATCTGGCAAATACTAATAAATGTTGATAATCAAAATAATTATACATTTGATAATACATTTTCATTTGTAACAATTCCAAACATTTGCCATTTCTACACGCTCTTTTTAATGTGGTTGGGTTTTTCAATATTGATCAGATAAAACATGGATTTTCTAGTCTACTAGTTTCTGTTATTTTATATGCAAAACAACATATTAATTCATGATTAAAATAATAATTAGTTGAAGCCCTGAAACAAGCCAACAATTTATTTAGATTATCTGAACGAGGTTAGGTCTGGGCGCAGCTGTTTGTGAACAGTGGGCTAAAGGAAAAAAAACGAATAAACAAAAACAAAAACAAGACATTGTGTCTCCCTTAATTAATGCCCCCCCCTGCCGGCCAGTCCGCTAAGTGACCCAAATCAACAGACACGCACACAGGTGCTACACAGGTGCATGCTGGGTCTGGCTAGCATGCTAAATGCTAAAATGCTTGCTGGCCCTTTCAGCAAGTATTTTTACATTTTGTCCGGAACTTTTACATCTAGTGAGTTGTGTTAAGGCTTTTTGTTGTTTTTTATTGATACATTTCCTGAGCCTCATCCAGCTCAACATGTTTGAAAGCTTTGAGGCGCACGGTGTGACAGAGAGGCTAAAGTGGACTGGATATAATTTAACATAGCCTGGTGTAGTATGTTTGAGAATAAACGAGCGAGAGAAGTGATACCTGGAGAAAAAGAAGTGGGACTTTGCGGTTCAAAAGACTCAAAGAATGACTTTCCAACATCTGATACATATCCCCAATTACCCATAAGTGAATGTGTTTCAGTATGAATTGACGCTGTTTGGCATCACAACGCTGTTATGAAAGTTTCTCTGGTATAAAATGGGTGATGTTAGCATAGCAACCAAAGATAAACTGATTATCTTGACTACTTGTTGTTGCTATCCTATTATAAACCGTTTTCTACAGGCATATTTTACCGGCGTATTCTTCATTATGATTCTACTTGTGATAGTCGGACATGGCAACCTGTGCAGCCCATGTATTGATTCCATCCGATAGCTGCTATAATACAAAACAAAACGTCTGCCTGCTCTCCACAATGATCAATGACAGCGACCAGCAATAACGGATGGTCAAAGTAAAGGTACAAATAAACAGAATCACACGAAGCTTGGTTAGTGTTGCCTGACTTTATAAAGTGTGTTTTTTTGTATAAGTGTGCTCAGTGCTACTGCTTGTTACAACTTGTATTTGTACTCGCCATAAACTGTTAGCTCGGGTTAATCTCGCCTCCCTCCAACGTAAGCGTGACGTATGCGGTTCTTGCTTCTAGGCCGACAATTTTTTGGTGCTTGGTAAGCACCAGTTTTCGGTGCTTAGGGCCGGCTCCACTGCGGTGTGAACAGGAAAAAATGGTGCTTATCAGGCTCTAGCTCCGAACCGGCCCTAGAACAGTGTTGGTGTGAAAGGGGCATCTGATGGTTGTATTTCTCCCGAGACCGTCATGGAAGCTGCGTGTGCGTGCTTATGCGTGTGTGAAGTGCGCTATGCGTTATAACCGTCAAGCTCTCTAATAATGTGTTTGTGGCTGCAGCCGCTGTGCTGTTTATATTGTTTAAATACATCTCTCTGTTGTCTGCCTTGGTTATGTTTTATTCTGCCTTTGATTCTATAAGGAGTGTTGGGTTATTTGATTTCTGTAGCCAGCTTTTTGCACCCGCTGCGATATCTTAAATCGTTTTATTTATTGTCATTTTTGTGTTTTGTTCTCTTTCCCGCTTATAGCCCTAATCGATAGTTCAGTTTGACATACAGGTTGTTGAATGTTCTCTACAGAAAGTGAACGTGTTTTATGTTATGGATATAAGAGCTCTGTAAGGATGTTAAGGCTATACTCCACATTGTCATGTTAATGCACTTTATGGTAGAACCATAATATAATTTAATAGGTTTACATAAAACATTATCATATAGATATTCATTTCTCTCCCCTTATCCTATTTAAAACTTGAATATAGAAATTGTTGCACAGTACATTGTTATTGACCTACTTCTTACTTTTTCTCAGTACAGTTTAAGTCAGCTATTCAACCGGTAACTTTTGGGTAACACTTGTTTATTCAGTTAATTTATTTCAAGAAACATAACATTCACTTGAGACAAACAATAATACCCATATTGGCCTACGTTTTCCTCCCCCTACAAAAAACATTTAACCCTGCATGAAAAATGTGAGCAAACACTTTATTTAGTAATCCTTTTACAATTTGCCATTTTCCTCCTAATAGCTTTCTCAAAAGGAGACTTGTTTAAAACCTGAATGATTTCCGACTGCTTGTGTTTCTTGCACTGTTGGATGTCCTAATATTGTAATGTACCCAAATCCCTGCAATTAACTTGATGAGTGCAATTATTAATGAAATTATTGCCAAAACCACAAACATAGTAGTTAGATAAAACCCGCTTTTCCTGTCAACTGCCTGAATTGTGGAAGTAATGCTTTCTTTGTTGTTCTAATGCAGTTTGTGCTTGAACGAGGCCATATGCAGTGACATATAAATGCCATACACTGTTGCCATGCATTGTTAAGTGTCCGGGATGAAAGTGTGCTTTTATGTGTGATGGCATTAAAATGTGTGTGTTGGAGGGTGTGCACAAGGGGCTGGGAGAAGCATTGCAGTGCATCATTCTGCTCCACTTGCTGTACAGTATCAGTGGAGGCAACAGAGAGAGAGATAGACGAGGGCGGGGGGGTGCTCTGGAGGCAGATATGACAGCAGAAGCACTGCTTTCCATTCACTCACGATCTTAGTGCTAGTCCCAAACACTCTCACTTTGATGTGTTCCAGATAACCCCCCTTTTCTACTCTCATTAAACTTTTCATTGCTTTTTATTGAACTTTTGATTACCTTGCATTTTCAATTTCATATAATTTTTTCATTGAAATTTAATTCGCTGGCGCTGCGATTGGATCTTTCGAGCAGAGGGATAGGTAAGGAGAAGAAAGGGTGCGATTTCCTTGAGGTCCAGACATCTCCACATCAGAAACTCAAAGATGTAATCAACTTGTTTGCGTGTGTGTGTGTGTTTCTATGTGCGTGTGCCTGTAAGCTCTAGTGCCGTTGGTGACATTTCTATCTGCAGAAGTATGAGGACTTGAGGGCTAAAATGGAGACAGGTTTTTTTTTTTAGAGGTCCTCAAAGAGGGGAGAGACTCTGCAGAGACAGATAAGAGTGTAGTTGGTGTACATGTGTGTGTCTATGTATAACAGGGTAGACACGCGCATGAGTGTACGCGTACCCACGGCATGCAAACACACACTCACATGGCAGTAAATGGGGCAGAAGTGAAATGCTTTGAAGCGTTGGGGTAATCCAGCGTAAACAGCAGCGGCAAGACAGACTAGAGCTGGGCTGTTCTACTACTCCCAGCTACAGAAGGGGAGTATGGGCACTTGAGCATGTGTACAGTATGTGTACACACGTGCACAGTAAAGACAAACCTCACAAAATGGCAGAGTTAGAATTAAAAAAGTAAGAAAGGGGTGAGAGAAGAGGAAAGAAAGAATGGATTGTTTTCCTCTTTTATTCGCTTGGCTGAGCTGCGAGAAAGAGCATGTTTTGAAAATGTTTTCATCAGAGAAGCTGGCTTATCTGTCAGTTGTTGTTGGAGTTTGTCTTCCCTGACAGGATGAGTTTGCAGCTAAATCAGGCTTTAAATTTGCAGCATGTCATGTTCTGATCCGCCATCCATAAATAGAGGGCAAATTAGACATTGTCATTGAGCATCACTGTCTCCTCACTGCCCCCTTTATTGTTTTTCTTTCTCTCGCATTCCATTTTTTGTTTCTTTGACTCTCCTCTTTCTGTTTAATTTCTCCCCCTCCCCCCTAGTTTACCCCCTTCTCTGTTTCTCAGTCTACCTTGCAGACTTTACCTCCCTCCATCAATCCACCCTACAGCATGAAAGCCTCTCCACACCACCAACTTCATCATGAATAAATTGCCAATTTAGTATACATGAAACGAGTCCCCAGTTCCCCAAACTAAGTGAGAGAGGAGGAGAGATGAAGTGTGAGAGGGAAAGAGAAGGAGAGAGAGACAGAAGAAAAAAAAGAATTCAATTATTTTTCGTCTCTATTAAGAACCCAAACCTCCTGCCCACTCTCCTCACTTGGCAATTAGTGCTGTAGATAATTAACGAGGAGAGGGCAGCACCACACCACATCCCTAATCACGCACATTTCTATCTGGCAGAGTAAGGGACTGTTGGTATAATTTTGCTTCACATTACTAAGGCTAATTATATAATCGATCACTCCCAGCCTCCTGCCGTATCAAAGGTGTATGGTGAAACGTTTTGATTTTGACCTGTAACTCGAAAGCAGACACTCCTTGAGATTCAGCATGTATTGGTTTAAGGAGGGGCGCATCAACATTTCTTACTGTCTTGATATGACGGGATGAGATCATTGTTGAAAATAAATAAATATTTGTAGCGTTTGTGTGTGTGTGTGTGTGTGTGTGTTTGTGTGTGTGTGTGTGTGTGTCAGTTTGCATAGTCCTAAGCCATGTTCTATGATGTGACATTGCTGACTGGTGCTGACGTTAAGACTTTTCAGGGGAGAGTGGAGGAAAAAGCCTGCATCAGGAGAAAAAGAGCTAGCCCATCAAGGGTGTGTGTGTGTGTCGGAGGATGCAGGGAGTGAAAAAGAGAGACTCTGCAGTCTATCTACAGTGCATGGTTGGGGAAGGTGGGGTCTTTTGATGATCTGAATAGTGATTTTAGCTGACCAGAAACATGCCTAAATGATGTTGGCTTTTCCGTTCACGGTGTTAGCCCGCGGCGTCAACACGAACAAACATCAATGCAAGCAGACCAACAAGGATGCAAATAAATGAACAATGAGCCACAAACAAAAGCCGGTATTATTTTTTTAAGGCACTGAAGGCTGTGACCAAGCAATATGCAACAGAGTATCTATCACACTCCATTCTCTCTCTCTGATACAGCAGCAGAGAGGGCATTTCAGTGAATGGAGATGGATAGCGAGTCATTTGGTTTCAGGCAGCCCTGTTTACAATTCTGCAGACAAAACCGCACAATAGATGAGCTATTATTGATATTGATCATGGCCTCTTATCAGTGCCATTGATTCTGATAAAAAGTGAAATTGAAAACAACAGAATGCAAACCCTTTGAGGAGACCCAAACTTTTGTTAGCAGTGACCCCGATGCACGCTGTGGTCTCGAGCCGTTTAATGGCAGACCTCCTCAAAGGGTTGGGATGCAAATTATTCAATCAACTGCAGCAGCATGGAATTAACATTCCACGTCGAGCGCTGCAATGTGTAATCACACACAAGCTGAAATTGCGAATTACATGCCGAGTATAAAGAATGAAAACAAAACATGTGGGTCATATGGTGTGGTAAAGTAATCAACAATACCAGGAAGCTGAAATACCTGTGTGAAAACCCTGCAGGACCTTTCTCTCTTCTGAAGCTGCAAATTCAAACAATTTACCTGTTAGCGATATAACACCTCTCAGAAACACACACACACACACACACACACACACACACACACACACACACACACACACACACACACACACACACACACACACACACACACACACACACACACACACACACACTCACACACTTGGGTGAATACAGGCAGTGACACCAACTTCATTTAACATTGCACATAATTACTGATATTGTAATTCTCCTCTCTCGCCCCTTATTTTCATTCATTATCCCATGACCATCTTTCTACTATTCCTTTCCTTCTTCCAGATCTTTTTTTATCATTTTATTTTTCCTCTGCTCCCTTTTCCCCTCATTCTCTGCATCTACTGTCAAGTTAATTGATGGCATTAATTACTACGCCACTCGTTCTTGATCGGTCATATTCGATTTCCTAACACAAATTTGCATAATAAGCTGACACATTACTCAATTAGGTATATATAATTGGGCTATTATTGAAAACAAGAGGAATGCTTTTCCTCTTTTATGGAGGACTTTTTTCTACAAGTTCAACCTTTTAACAAGCCATTTGGTCAACAGCAAAGGCAGATTAATCGTTTCACTTACACATGCTCTGGTATGTATTCACTCGACACGTGTTACTGAATAACTTAGAGGGAGCAGAGGAACTGTTTAGTGAAGCCACTGAGCCATAGATGAGAAAAAAACAAATAAGTGATTCTATAAGAGGTGGCAGCATCTGTCAATCTGGCTCCTAAACCCCGCCTATCACTGTTAACCTCAGCAGACGATCAAGAAACAGTCCGCCATCCAGTCAGTTAGTCAATTAGCCAGCCGGGCCAGCCATTCCCCAATGATTTATCTCACTGTAATTGATTGCCTACATGAAACAAAGTACAGAACACAATTCTTTCCTCGTCGACCAGAGATGTAAAAGTCATCTTTTGCATACTCAGGATTGAGTTTCCATTAATGTAATCCAGAAGTAAGCACTCAAGCCCGCTAGTCGACAGTATCTTCATAGCCATAGCTCAAAGGTCTGAAGTTCTTTAAACAATGAGCTATGAAATAAAGTGTGTCCCAAGCCTGTTTTTATCTAAAGTACTGTATGTTTTAATAAGAATATCTCCCAGGGCAAAACAGAGGTTTATTAAATTTCATTCTCTATCTGAGTTGCCAAATACTATAAGTTGCCTTCTATTACCTATAATGTTGAGCAAAACGTGTTATTAAGACCCCTAGAAGAGGATAAAATAATCTCTAAAAGCAGCTATTATTATCTGGAAATGTACATTTCAAACCCCTGAAGATTGATATAAGACAATACCACTAACCACTGACGCTATTTATCTAGGTTTTTGTTCCCTTTTCTGTCCTTCATCCCTCATTCACTTGGTATTCTTTCCTTAACCCTGCATTCTTCTCCATATCAGTGTCTGCAAGAAAATCATTCATCTCACTCAACCCTTCACAATACATTAACCTTCAAACGGAGGGTTTCTTGGAGCAGTACCTTGGTGAGGCTGCGGGCTGCGCTGTCCTTGCCCCCGGGGGTGAGGTTCCTGAGCTGTACGTCCAGCAGCTCCACCAGTTGGGCCATGGCCCGCACGGTGGATGGCACATCGCCAGGACGCAGAAGACCTTTGGTCTGCTCTGCCAGCTCTCTGGCCACGATTGCTGCTGTCTCGCCGGAACGGAGCTGTGAGCCAAACATTGTGATGGGGCGGGGAGTGGAGAAAAGTCAAAGATTTCGACAGATGGATGAAAGTAAAAAAGAAAAGAAAAGTAAGTCAGATGAGGTGAGAAGGGAAGGGAAAGATGGGAGCAAAGTTAGTGAGAGTGTGAAGAGGAGGAAGGTGTACCAAGGGTACAGAGAAAGAAAGTTAAAATGAAAAGAGGAGAGATGAAGCGCAGCGAGGTGAAGGAAAGAAGGAGTGAGGGAAGTACATTTAGATGAATGGGGAAGATGAGAAGAAGAAAGGGGTGGGGGTGCAATAGGGCAAGAGAAGGTCAGTGTTGTTTCCAGCAACTGATAACTGTTAAAAAAATATTTAAGAATAATTCAGAGACATTTCCCATATTTAGCACTTCTGCTGAAATGCTGATTTCACAGAGAGTATTTCTCCTTGTTTTGTCCTATAAAGAAAACCCTCATAGCAGAGGTGTCCACACTTTTTTCACCGAGGGCCACATACAGAACAATATGCGAAGGGCTGGGCCACTCACTAGGGGTGAGGTATAAAGACTCATAAATTCAGTTATAAGTCAGCAATGATACTTGAAAATGCCTTAAGAAAAAAACAGCCTACTTCACAGCTCTCCATAGGGCTTCATTTATTTTGTTACAAAAAGTGTTCAGCTCATCCCTTAAAACAGAAGCCTCAGATTGCTCATAATACGGGGAAACATGGCTTTTTTCTTATAAACCTTTTAATTTAAATGGGGCAAAGCCTGCGAGCTAGTACAGACAGTCAACTCGAGCATTTATGCTGCATTCATATATAACGCCTCTTGCCACTCTACAACCAACCAAACGGAGTCTCCTTAATTGCCGCTCTATTTAACCTGCCTCTCTCTATGCATTGCTTGCTGCTGCTATTGCTGCAGCTACTTCCACGTCGCTGCTTGCCTGCCCCACCACCACCCCAGCTTCCACCTGTAGGCTCGGGGTTAGTTATTTAATCATCACTCATCGTGCTATGTATATCTGTGGAGTGATGAGGCCCGAGCCTAGACGCCAAACTCAACTATAATGCTACTTCTAATAAACATGTTAAAGAACACGTGAGTTGTCTGACTGAACTGAATTTATTTGATAAGTGGGCTTGTTAAAACATGAATACTACTGTGCAATATATTTGTACATATATATATATTTAGGAAGTACAATATAAGACAAGCCCAAGTTTCATTTGTGGGTCATATTCCATTATACTTTTTGAATTTGCTGAGGGCCCTGCCTTATAGACTTGTGGCCCATTTGAGAACATCTACAAGCATCTCGAAGAACAAAGTAATGTTCTCCCATGCAAAAGGAATGCTTTCTATGTAAATTAACCTATTACGATGCATGATAGCCTATTATGATGAAAGCACAGTGTGAATCTCCATACCCCTACAGCTAAATGAACGCTCTTAGATCTCAAAAACAAGTCAGGGTTAACAGCTGAAGATGGAAACATGGCTGCAACCTTCCCCTGTAGTCAGTGTGTCTTCATGTGTGAGAAATTGCTCAAGGACCATATCCATAACATATAACCTTAGGAGGGCTCGGTGGGAGCTATTGGGGCCAGCAGCGCGGGCTGACTTACTTTCTGCATAATGTGGTTGACCCAGGGCGACGTGCAGTTGCTGAGGTCAGGCCCTTTGGGATCCCAGTAGCCCAAATGGGCCATGCACACGTACGTGGCCACGCCTGTAAAACAAGCAAAAACAAACAGGGTAAGACAGAGCTGACATTCACCAGGAGACACGAAGATTCTTGAGATGCTTTGGGTTCACTAAAGCAGTGTGTATCTGCAGGGTGTGTGTGTGTCTGTGTGTGGATGGATGCAAGGAGGATTGAAGAATCACCATTGTCATGTTGGCTAATAGATTGAAATAGGAGAACTTCTTCTACGGAAGTGTTTGTGTGTTGTGAGAAACTTCTCTGCTGAAATACATGTTCAATTGTATATGTTGTAATGTATACGTCTTACTTTTAAGACAGCCCATATTCCACCTTTAGACCCATTTCATCTAAATGCTCTCAAGTACTCTGTCTCTGCCAAAACCAATACAATGCAGAAATGGGTGATCAAGGATTGACCATTGCTGTAGAAAATGTTTTTCCTCCCTGTCAGATATTACCTCTTGTTGGTGTGTCCATTGCATACAACCATTTGTCTATTCATTTTCATTTCAAATATAAGATCGACAGATTACTTTCAATGAACACAATTGAATGATTGTTATAAGTTATGTTTTTTGTTAACACTTTGATCCCATTTTGTCGTCTTTAAATGTGGTCTTACATTTGTGTTGACTTGACTACATTTGTTTATTGGAGGTAGTAGCTTGTTACTTTACAGGGTAAGGTTTCACGTGCAAGCACACATGCAGCTCATAAAGTGTGATGCTCTCTATGAATAACAGGCCAGCAGAATGTGGAGTATATAGACCAGCTACAGCATTTATATACTTTTTTACAGGTTGAGACTAAGATCATAAAAGATGCTGTTCTGCTGCTTTGACTTTTCTAATGGTGGTTATGCTGTTACTTAGGAAAAGGATACAAATATGTTTCCACCTTTGCAAATGAAACATGTTTACACTCATAGGAAGAGTTTGCAAAGAAGACAATGGACAAACCTTTAGGACATACTCCTGCCAACCATCTACTAACATCCTAACATGTTAATTCAGCTATACATCCTACTCTCTGCCTTGCAGCCTCTTACCCAGGGTTCCTACAGGGCAGGGCTGCTTGGCTTTCTGGCCTTGCTGCGTCCGGGGCCATGATATCTCGGCTGTCAGCCTTGGACTGCAGAAGTCTTGTGGAGGCAGGGGAGCAGGCTGAGGGGCCGCTGGGGGGACCTGCGCCGGGGGAGAGCGCCCTCCTTTCTGGTTGGTGTCGGGAATCTGGTTGGTGTCGGATGCTGAACCACCGGCGGGAACCGGGATTGGCTGACGAACCGTGGTGGTGGTCCTCCAGCGCTGGCCAGGGGAGATGGTGAGGAGAGGCCGGGGGGTGGTGAAGTAGGGAGGAGAACGAGTGGTGGTGGTGCGGCTGGTTGATGAAGAGGAGGAACCTCCGCCTACAACTGGACCCCCTCCGCCTCCGCCTCCTCCTCCTCCTCCTCGGTTTGGAGGCATAATGGGAGGTGGGCGATAGTCTGAAGAGAAAGAGAGAGAGTTTAAACTAACATGACATCACCTTGGCTATTGAACAAAGAGCCAGGACCCAATATGTATTGTGCAGATTTGTAGGTCCCAACACAACTGGAGTCTGGATGTTTTTATGAGCACCTTGTGCGAGGACATGATTTCAAAATGTATTAGATGCTAAAGTAAAAACAACCGAGTTAAAAGAACTGTGATCAAGCAAACTATCTGTGTCAGCTCAACATGTTGTGATTAGTGCCCTGCAAGCGTAAATAGTATTAAAATAACTGACACAAACACATTTGCAGGCACTCATTTAGACAGCACTAAATAGCTGTGACAGGGAGTAGCTCGTGTTTCTGATGACTTCCCTATGTTAGTGTTTCATTCCTCATCATTGTCGCAATATGCCAGATTTCTGTGGGGTCTTTTTTCTTACTTCCAAGTTCAGAATGTATTTTCAAAAAACAATTTGTGTGCAAACTGGATATGACATATTGTATGAATGCAAAACTAACAATTGGTTTGTCCTGAAAATGTGTGCAAGGTTACCAGTGTTTCCTATGGGACTGGTTTTTTAACGTTTTCATGCATGATTAATAACACAATGACATCACGCAGGGCAGAAAGGTCACTTAGATGCATATGACACACTCTTTTATTGTCAATATTTCATTGTAAAAATACTAAATTATTCAGACTGACCCGGTTCAGGGGACAGAAATAAAGAATAGATGGATTAGGGGGCCATGAAGAGAGGAATAGAGCATGTGCAGTGTTAACGTCCTCTTGTTAAAATACTTCACCAGGGTATCTCACTTCATCTGCTTCCCTCCTGTGGCTTTCAACTGCACATGCTACAAATCAATATTGAAGGAATCGAAAGTTGAGTAGAGGGAAATAATTATTTAAAGCTTTCTGTCACTTTCCCTTTGAATCATTTTTTTCGGTCTCCAATCATTTGGAAGTCATTATGTGTAATATTGAATTCAGTTGGGGCCCATTTTAATAGCCACTTTTTTGCTTGGAAACATTCTTTAACAAAGCAGGGAATAGCTTTGTCCCTCACTGTGAACACTTTAATTATCCAGCTGAGATTGCTTTAAATTATGTTAGGATAAACGATCTCCAAGAATATTTTGGGGAATTTGTTATCAAAGAAGTACATACATCCTGTGTATGTCCGAACCTGCAGAGCTTCCACATCAAGTGAATATTATAATAACCCTACATTTTATTTTAGACTTTATTTTTGACTTCGTATTCCTATTTAAAAACCCATAACATGTGGATTGCCTGAAGTACGGATACAGGCAACAAGCAAACAGAAAAACAGACAGACGCCCTAGATCACAAAGCAGCTTAAAGCTGAATTGTCACAGTGTCATGTAATGTCACCTTGACAAGATACATTTTGGATTTATAGAATGGACATATTTTCTACACACTGTAAGAACAGGGACGACTGAACCTGGTTGAACTCTCCTAAAAATATTTTCCCCACCATCTCCATGCCGACCAGAAAATATCAACAAGATTTATTTTTATTCTGAAAAGTGTGAAGTATACCAACATCATGCTACATGATTTCTGGGTGATGGGGTCCTCTGGGTGTTCAAGCTATCATTTGCTGCCAGGTGGGGTAGCGAAAGTGTGAAGTTGCCTTGCGTGACTTTCCTCAAGTCTGCCATGATGTTAACATTCTTGATTATATGATTTTCTGCACAAATGGAAAGCACAGGCGCTTGTGTTTCTCTGTCTAAGGGGTTGGTGTGCCTAAGGCCATAATATGTACTACATGCGGGTCCCTGACATTGAAGGGTTATAGAATTTGTCGTCTCAATGAGGCCGTGTGATTTGCACAGGAAAGGACTGTGATACTACAGGCTGTATTTGTTACTGCTATGTTGTTGTTTTCTTAGTCTACTGCATATTGACTGCCTAATTTGGGGATGTGCTGGGCACAAAATTAGTTGACTGCAGTGTTTTTGGAAAACGTTCTCATTTTGTGATGCTTTTTTGTTCGTTTGGGGATGAAAATAATGTGTCAATGTGTGGAGAATTAAGACGTGTGGGTTTTAGTAAAGAGTGGCTGTGTTTATATTATTTACTGTGAGCCGAAGTCGATTTTGCAGTTTAATCAAAGCGCAGTACCTCTCTCTGTTTCCCTCTGTCTCTCTCTGTCTCCCTCTCCCTGCCTGTCTGTCTGTCTGATTGACTGACAGCCATGAAACATCCCGCTCCTCCTGTACGTTCTGTTCTCTTCCTCCACAACTCAATGGAGTGTTTCCGTACCTAAACTGTGCTGCTCCTCATTCCTGAATCACTGCCGCCCTGCTTCATGCATTCTCCACGGAACATTGCCATCAATCATGCGTAGCGGCAGTGGCCTAGGGACTAGCTGTCAATCTGTGTGTGTGTACACTTATGAAGCGGAGAGTGAGTCGGTGTGTGTGTGTGTGTGTGTGTGTGTGTGTGTGTGTGTGTGTGTGTGTGTGTGTGTGTGTGTGTGTGTGTGTGTGTGTGTATCTGCACTCAAACGGGAAGCTCCATTAGGGCCTCTGCCACAACAATAGAAGAGTAATGGTGTGTGTGTGTGTGTGTGTGTGTGTGTGTGTGTGTGTGTGTGTGTGTGTTGTGTGTGTGTGTGTGTGTGTGTGTGTGTGTGTGTGTGTGTGTGTGTGTGTGTGTGTGTGTGTGTGTGTGTGTGTGTGTGTGTGTGTGTGTGTGTGTGTGTGTGAGGTTGATGTCTGCTGTCATTTACAGTAAATACAGAGCAGGAGACACAGGGGCGGGCAGCTTGAGGTGAGGTAACAAATGCAAGCATCACAGGCATCGGGCCACACCACCTCACACACCATGAAGCTCCATCCCTTCTCCTTCCTCCGCTGTCTCCTAGACATTTACCGTCTGATTGGATGACTCACACATACATTTATTTCGCCTTTTTGCCACACTTTTATTCAACCCATTTTAATTTCTAGATTTCTCAGCACTCTCTTTCAAGTGTGCTCGCCCGTGTCTTTACTCTGTCCTCCTTGCTTGTTATTTTCACGGCATTAAGATGGGTTGGGGGGAGGTCTTGCAATGTGATGAATTCATCACTGGCATGACTGAAGATGCTGTGGATGCTGTAGGGAACTACCGGAATATGACATAACTGCCTTATGAAACATTTATAGAGAAAAAAGGCTAGAGGTTGTACTCATGGGGACTGATGTATCTCACCGCGTTTAAGCTTAGGAAGCCTTGACTAAATGCGCCGTGACAACTTCAGGATGTCAGCTAACCTAAACGTTGTGCGCTTCGTTGGGGCAGATGTCAAAAGAACAAGCATGTGACAGAACCAAAATACAGTTACAAATTCAGTTAAGATGTGTTCCTATAAATGGCGGATCTGCCCATGCCTGACACATTTTGACAGTAGAAAAGCTCAGTTATGATAATACACTGCCTCTGCATTTCATTTCAGGTTACCCTGCGCTAAAGGATGAATCCTCTTGCAGCATTAACTATTATGTTAAGCACTGGGCAAGCAATATTACGTAGGTCTATGCAAAATAGATTAAGCATTATTATACACAGATGACATTTAGGTGATTTGATGCTGGAAATGCAATCATTGAATAAATGACTTTAAGTATATTAACCATCTTTTTAAATGTTTTAATAAAGGGATTCTGTTTTGGAGGTTTAACTGTGTGTACATGTAAGATCAGATAATGTTTTATTAACTAAATAATAAATAAAAAAACATTTCTTAAACTGTGGTCAACAAAGTATTTACATTTTTTTTGGAAGAACTCATTTTTAACAGTAATCCTGACAAATAAAACACTTTATGGACTTGCTAAGTTAGGAGTGTGATACAACTGAATGGACTTTAATGGTTATGATTAATGGACACTGTGTTGAGATTGATTTGTCCTCGGCCATTTACAAGGTCAAGAGTCAGCCTTCTGTTTTTTTATTTTTTGCTGCCATGGAATCAAGTCCTTTTTCAAAAGTGCTCAGTCAAAAAAAGCCAGTTTGAACTTCTACTCTTCCATAATGAATGGCCAACTCCATATGGTGGGGTAAATTGTTTGGTGCAGATTGAAAGCTCTGGAATAATTGGAGAGATATTTTATTCTGGTCTATGTGCTATTCTGTTTGTTTTCCTGACCTGTAGTAAGCCCAGGGGAAGGTGAGACAATGGCAGGCTGGCTGTACAATTGTTCCTGGAGTTGTCTATCTGTCACCACACTGGAGGGGCCATAGAGATGCTGTCAGTCACCCTGGGATGCTGTGGCACATGATCATCTGACATGCAGACAGATGTGTGCATGTGTGTTTTTGTGTGACTGTGTGTGGCGATGTTTTTCTGTGTGGGTGCGACTGCCTGTCTCTGCCTCTGCGTTGGTGCCGAGAATGCTCTTGTTGACTTCTCACTCGGTAAACAGAGGGATCGTGAATCCACAACACAAAAGGTAGACGGCAGAGAGGAGAGGGAAAAATGAACTTCCTCTGGCAAGTTTCCCACAACATCAGAGAAGTGGCAGACGGCGTGTGAGAGAGGGGGGGGGATGCTGAAGCTAAGAGAAAAGGGATTTAAATTAAGACAGAAGTTTCAGAGAACTGAGAAGTGTCTATAACACTCATATGGGCTTCTTAATATGCAAGATGATTAGTTTCTTAGAGTTTCCTTCAAAGTTACTGCCTCCACAAACACACCATAATCTGACTGAAGGGCACAAAGCTTTCTAGGCAGTGGTAGAAGCACAGACATTGAATAAGGCTGCGTACTGCGATAACTCACTGCCCCTATGGCTGAAGAGCACACACACAGACGTACACACACTCCCCTGTACACTTAACTTTTCACTGAGTTGTACGCGAAGCAACACACACAAATGCATGCAGATACACACTTGAGCAGAAATGTGCTATACACACACTCGTACGCACACAGAGCTTGCGGCGGGTGGCTCGAGCCCCCTGATAAGACAGAATGGAGCACTTCAAAGCAGCG